CCCTGGTACCAAAAAAAAAAAAAAAGGACATTTTGGTTTTGTTTGTTTTTTTCCCCCAGTATGGGAGACTGAACCCAGGGCCGTTGGGCTGAGCTACATTCCCCAGCTCTTCTTAATTTTTTTTTAAAAAAATTTTGAGTCAGGGTCTGCTAAATTTCCCAGGCTGGGCTCAAACCTGTGATCCTTTTGTCTCAGCCTCTCAGAGTGCTGGGACGACAGACATGCACCACTATACCTGGCTTCAAAATCTACTCTAAATGCCAAAGCTCACCTATCAAGTCTTTATGAAAATTTGACTTAATTTTCAGAAAAACAAGCTCTATAAATATATGTCCTCAGCTTACTTAATACTGTCGTTAGCTGCATAGTGACTTCTCCATTGTTAAAAGACCCATACAATGATATCACCTAGTGATGTAACCATCTTCATTTGTGTAAGAACTGTACATACTCTGACATTTGCATGACACAAACATGATGCCCAGCGACACAGTTCTCAGAATTTATCTCTGTCATTGAACAACACACGATTTTCATTTAGCCCGTGACAATCACAAATACACATCAGGTGGATACATTTGTAACAAACGGCTGGCACTAGGTGACAATCTGCCTGGTGGAGCAGGGGCCTAGTGCTCAAGAGTTCAGCAGACATGGGCATCTGCTCACAGCTTTGGTGGGAGACAGCCTCACATATCCGTGAGTCCGGCTGTTGCTTGGGTGGGCATGGTCATGAGAGGCTCTGTCTACTGGCTGGCTTACACAGTTCCAAATGTTTTTAAAAATGAATGTACAACTGGGGATTTAGCTCAGTGGCACCTGCCTCGCAAGCACAAGGTCCTGAGTTTGATCCCCAGTACCAAAAACAAAAACAAACAAAAAAAAACACCCTTCAGTTAAAGGAAAGCTGACTAAAGCCAGGCATGGTGGCGCACGCCTGTAATCCCATCACTTGGGAGGCTGAGGCAGTAGGATTGCTGTGAGTTCGAGAGCAGCCTGGGCTACTTAGTGAGTTCCAGGTCAGTCTCAACTACATAGTGAGACCCTGTCTCAAAAAAACAACAAAAAAAAAGGAAAGCTGACTTAACTAAGGCCCGCCAGCCAGGTAGTGGTGCATTCAGGGTTGAACCCAGACCCCTGATTTCCAGCCCAGAGCCTTGCTCTGCCATCAGTAGTGGCTCTCAGAGAGTGTTAGGCATGTACGACTCAGGGCTGGGTATCCAGGACCATTTGCTGTCCTGCCCTTGAACGTGCAGATCCTAGGAAGGTGACGGTGCATGCTTGTCTGGTTTGTGTTTCTGCCCCATGCAGCAGGAGAGCATGCCTTTTGCTGTGGTGGGAAGTGACAAGGAATACCAGGTGAATGGCAAGAGGGTCCTCGGCAGAAAAACCCCCTGGGGGATCATCGAAGGTAATTCAGTGCACCTTCCGGGAGAACTGGCTGCTGATCAATTATCCAGCAAGCATTTATTTGGATTTATTTTTTGTTACAGGGGATCAAACTCGGGTCCTTGCGCTTGCGAGGCAGGCGGCAGAACCTCTGAGCTAAATCCCGACCCTCCAGCAAGCATTTATTAAGCATCGATAGCCACTGTCCTAGGATATGTGATACAAAATAAATGTCAGATTCTGTCCATGAGGAGCTTACCGTGGAGTTGAAAAGATACTTGCAGGCAGAAAGCAATAAGAAACCCATTTGCCCCTGACCAGGTGGCGCTGAGTTGTGTCAAAGGAGCTCAGAACTGGGAGAGAAGAGTGAGGGTTGGAAAACCAGATAAAGGTTTTCACATTAAGGGAGATGCGATCGGAAAAAGTGCCAGAGTGTGGTTTGCCTGTTGCCATTTCCATTTCATTATGAGGGGTGTGACGTTGTCCAGGTCTTGATGATTCTGAAAAACTTCAAAGAACCACTTCAGTAATCTCATTCAGCGTGAGGACCCCGGGGGGCAGCAGGGCAGCCGTTCCTTCCCTGGATTATAAACTGCTGAGACCTCCGGTTTTAGACGGGGTAGGGCCTTTGCCAGTGTGTGCTTTGCCACATGACTTTTCTTTAATGTGTCTGGTGCTGGGGCTCAAACCCAACATCTTGCACGTTCTAGGCAAGGACTCACATAACTTGTAAATGGATTTCAGACTTGGGTATTTTCATTCCCAAACCAAAGCTTGTTATCTTGAATTGCCTCTTGTTTTCCTGTGACTCATTGTAGGAATTTTTTTTTTTCTTTTTGGCTTGGCCTCCCACCCATTGCTGGAATTTTTAAAGTAGCATGTTCTTATCATTTACTTTGATGTATGAGGATATTGTACAGTCTCTGTGAGATCAGAAGCCTGCGTCGACACTGTCCTCCTGCTCTTACAATCTTTGGAAAGTGGTTTGTAAATACTGGGTGTTCCATTTATGGTTTTGATTTTGGGATTGAGGATTGAACCCAAGGCCTCATCATGCCAGGCAAGTGCTCCACCACTGAGCCACATGCTTAGCCCTCTCCATCTATGTGGAATTGGATTTAACATGCAAGATGTGACCTTTTAAAGATGCAGTTTTTATATTCTCTCCGTGTTACTTTCTTTCAATCAGATTATAAGTTCCTTACAGATAGGAGCTATACTTTAGGCTTTGGAAAGTTTCTTGGACTCCCTGTGATTTTCTCTTTTGTAAAATGGGAACCAATAACAATCTGTATTACCTATTATTCCTCAGAGTTTAGAACAGATTATGTCCATAGTAGCTGCTTAATATTTGTTCAGTTAATACAATCCAGTCAAGTAAGCAAGCCTCTGGAAAGGTTACAAAATGGCCTGTCTCATGCTGTCTTTAAGTGCTTCAGTGACCCAAACAGAAGTTTACTTCTTGGATTAATGAAATTACTACCCGTTTTCTTTTGTTCATAGTGGAAAATCTCAACCACTGTGAGTTTGCCCTACTTCGAGACTTTGTTATCAGGTAAGATGTCCCTCTTCCCTCTGCCTGGGTGGCAGATTTTAATTTCTGGGGTCCGGGGCCATCTATTCAGATTCCCGAGTGTCTGGGTCTTTGACTGAACTTTTTGCCCCAGTTCTAGCTCCTGTCTCAAAGCAGGCGGGCCTGTAGAAGTCAGTGAGCCCTGTCCGTGAAGTGATGTTTTGGCCTCTGAGGTGGCTCACTTCTTCCTCTTCCTGCTCCTAATTTCATCCTTCTCTCTTCTCACCCCCTGTCCTGCAGGACCCACCTCCAGGACCTCAAGGAAGTGACACACAACATCCACTATGAGACTTACAGGGCCAAGCGGCTCAATGACAATGGAGGCCTCCCTCCGGTGAGCGTGGACACAGAGGAAAGTCACGACAGTAACCCATGATGAGCCTTTTCTGTGTCATCACACATACCCTGCTCTCCACACACACGTCCCAGATACCACCTCCAGCCACCTTCTTCCAGCCCTGTCCCACGGGCCTGTCCAGTGTTGTGGAACATCTTGTCTACATTGTGTGAGTGTGTGTGCATATGGGGTGTGTGTGCACGTGTGTAAGTGCCTGTGCGTGAGTGCATGGGGTGAGGTATTTTCATTGCTCTCCCTGGAAAGCCCCTTGTAAGTCTGGTTCCTCCATGATTGTCCACTCTTCGTCTCTCTTCCTGTGTCCTAGAACAAAGCCGAGCACTTCACTCATGAAGTCTGGGGAGGTTTGATTGAAAAATGATGGGAGTAGGTGACTCTTTCCTACCTCTCATCCCAACCACAGACTGGGGCTGCGTATTCTCCACGGACAGGGGGTTAAGTTAGACCAGTGTTGGGGCAGGAGCTCGGGATACCTCCCTGTAAGTTGGGACCCTGGGCTAAGGCTAGGACTTCCGGGGGAAGGAAAAAGGAGGGTTTCTAGGGGCTCAGAGATGCGTGTCTCAGCTGGGTTCCTACAGAAAGAATCAGTGCCTGGGCCAGGGATGTAGCTCAGTGGTTCCACGCCTGCCTCAGCACCTGCCTCACAAGCGCAAGGACCTGAGGTCGATCCCCGGTACAAAAAAAAAAGGAATCAGTGCCTGAAAGTGGGGCTCCACCCTGTGGTCGAGGTCCCTGTCCACAAGCTACCACTTGTCACTGTTCAGACCGCGCTGCTTTCCACGCTCACCCTACCTCTGTTCCCTGGCCACTTTCCCGCTTTCAGTTCTTTTCCCTCTCCCTCTGTCCCTCATATATTCTTTTTTTCCCTCCCTCTTGTCCATTTCTGACATCTGTCACATCCTTGTAGGTGAATCCTTTTAGCTCGATTTCTACTTTCAGAATTTATGGCCAGTCTACTTCCAAAAAATGACTAGACTACCCTAAATTTACAACAAAAAGCCTGGGACAGTACAGGCTGAGATCACAAGAGAAATCGGTACCATCGAGAATAGGACAGATAGTTTCAGTAGCTGGGGGCTGAAATTGGCCCTGAACCCATGGGCAGCCAAAAGCAAAGGAGCCACGGTGAGTCCTGCAGTTCCCAGGGCCCGCACATGTGCCAGTCCAGCCAGACAGCCTTCTGGGTAGAGGGAGGGTGCATACTAGAAGGGCTAATTTTGAAGAAGTATCAGAAACAATGGACTGTGTTTCTTTCTCAGAGGTTTGGCTTCAGAGACAAATCTTAGATCACAGCTCCCTCTTCTCAGACGTCTCTGTTCAGCTGGCTTCTCTGAGGCTCCTTTGGCCTCATCCATACCAAACACCTTCTTCTCTTCTCCTCTGATCACTTTTCTGCTCAAGCGAATTCCATTTATGCCTGTCCTCCTCTGCTTTCACCCTCCTCTTGATTCATGTAGTAGACATTCCCAGTGATACCACAATCATACAGTTAGCCTTTTCTTGCCTTTCCTGTAAGTCCTGTATTAATGTATATATTTCCTTTGTTTATTGCACAAGTATTCTTTCTCCTTTAATCTGTAGTAGTATTGCTGAAATTTGGGCCTGGGGAGTCAATGTAGCCTTAGGCAAGAGAAAACACCCTATAATACTGTTTATACCCCGCCTCGTGTCCCAACTCCTGGTCCAACCTAGGTGTTGAACTGGTCCCCTCTGAATATCAGCATTTATAATTCCAGTCCTTAATCATTCAGGTACTAGGAAAAAACATTCAAGACCCAAGATTGAAGGGACCAGGAGAAAGAGGAGGGGTGATCAGGTCACCAGTGTCCCCAATCTTGCAGTCTCAGTCTTTCCTGAAGGCTGATTCACCAATGGGCCCCTTATCCTCCCTTGCCCGCAAACTTACCCCAGGGTAGGCACCTGTTGGTCCAGAACGGTAGCAGTGTTATAGCACAGAGCTTGCTACATCTCGGCTGGACTGGGCACCCAGTACCCAGCCAGGGAAGACCAAGGGGTGGGGGTGGTGGGTTTGGAGAGGCTGAGCAGGGGAAGGTTGCTTGGCACCCCGAGACCATGGTCTCAGCCTCCCCGGAGAAGCTGTGTTTATGTGACTTCTGCCAGCTGCTGGTCTGTGCACCCTCACCCATCCTCAACCCCCTGCAGGGAGAAGGCCTCTTGGGCACTGTCCTTCCACCCGGGCCAGCCACCCCCTGCCCCTCTGCTGAATGAAGGCCATTTCAAGCTGCTTCTCCCTTCATTCCTCTCAGCTGTTGTTGCTGCAGGGCTGAGCCCCCCTTAAGGCTGTGCTTGTCACCCACCCACCCTCTGCAGGTGGGAGGGGCCGGCTGGCACCTTAGGACAGTTGCTGCCTCCTTTTAGCCAGACTGCTCCTCCCCTCCCTGCGGAACAGAGTTCTCGCCTGCCAGCACTGCCCTGCTCCACCGTCTGTGCCAGCCAGTCCCAGCCCATCTGTACGGAGAAAGAACTTGCTGAGGGCTGGTTCCGCCCGTACCAGCTACTTGTAACCATCTCCAGGGGAAATGACATTGTTCCCCACCCATTCATCTGCACGAGCTACTCCTGGCTTCCTTAAAGTGGCAAGAAGAGCAACTTTTCTGCTTGTCAGAGTCACTGAGGTCAGCCGTGTGAGCCCCAGTGGGGGACACAGGTGTTCATTGTTTAAAGGTATTTAAAAAGGTTGGTCACTACAGATGCAGGGAAGTAAGGGCTAGGGTCGTTTTTTAAAATAATCACCCCAGGTGGGCTGGGGATTTAGCTCGGTAGCACTGTGCCTGCCTCACAAGTATAAGGTCCTGAGTTTGATCTCCAGTATAAAAAAACAACAAAAAACCCCCAGATAGCTGGTACATACCTGCCCCACACGTAATGCGGCCACTTAGCCAGAGTGGTTTTCCCAAGGCTAGATTACTGGAGTTGACTTCCTCCTCACCCTCCAAATAAGAAAATGAACTAAACACACACACACAATACCTCAGAAACTCCCATGCTATACACCGTAGGAAGAAGAACAGCACCTTCCTGTTCACTTAGCAAGAAGAGGGATCTTTTCCCAGCTACCCCCACTACCCTGATTTCCTGTCCCTCACCCTGTTAATGTGAGTAATGAATTAGTCTGGCCACAGGTGGACACTGCAGGATAAAGGAAAATACCCAACGGAGGGCAAAGCCCCCATCAGATGCATGAATGTTTGTGAGTGTTGGTTGCCACTGCCCCACACACTGTGTCTTTATAGAACTCCCCCTTTGCCCACCCTACCCTCATCTCCACCTGGACACAACTTGCTCAAAGGCTGGTGACTTGTGGGCCACTCATCTGTAACCAAGACCGGATGGAACAAGAGGCCCAAGCCTAGGGGATGCAAGAACAACCCATTTCTTAAATGTTACCAATCCCAGCCAACCTTTTTGGTGATATTCTGGTTAAATTTCCTGATTGAAAATAAGCCAACAGACACTCAACCTGGTTGTGTAAATGTTGCTAGACTTTATGTGTTGTATAACTAAACATTGCTGTTTGAACAATAATTGCCTGTCCTGTGTCTTACTTGGACTCTTTTTTGTTTTGAGACAGGGTCTCACTATGTAGTTGAGACTGACCTGGAACTCACTGTGTAGCCCAGACTGGTCTCAAATTCACAGAGATCCTCCTGCCTCAGCCTCCTGAGTCCTGGGATTACAGGCGTGTGCCAACCACGCCCAGGTGGACTCTTGCTCTCTGAGTCAGCCATTATGTCATCACACCTATGTGTGGAGGGTGAGCCAGAGACCATCTTGGTAAGACTGAGGTCAGGCCCAGGTGTTTCCCAAATGAGTACAAGCCATTACACCTGACCTCATGGGTGCTGTGTATTGCCATCCTCGGTGAAAACGATGTGTATTTTTATTAACTTCCTAGCTTTCTCCTCCTAAGAGCAAAAGGACCAAGTCTAGGAAAGGACTGGGCTTCTTTTCCCTAAAAGCCTATTTTACAGTGAATACTTTAAGAATTTAAACTTTAGCTTGAACATAAACATCTTGAGATGTCCAGTCCCTTTTGTAGCCAGCAAACAACATGACTCTCACCAAATTATTTAATCTGAATGAGACAAATATATCCAGTTACGTGTTGTGGGGCTTCAGCTTTCTGTGCGGTGAGTGCAAAGTACATAATGAACGGAGGGAAGTGGTGGTGGTGGGGCAGAACTGGAAGAAGATGAATCAGGAGACTAAGGAAGCATTCAAGTAAAATGAGAGTGGCAACATGACACTGAGAAGAGAGTTGAGTGACAGCAGTTAGGTGGCCATCAAGTACCACAGCTAAAAGGAACCTGAGAGCCCATAGTCCAGTGCCGCTGTACAGATATGAAACCAAAGTCCAGGGAATACAATCCTCTTGCCCAAGGTTGCATTGTGTTACTATGACAGGACAGAGACGATACTGTTCCCACGGTGTTTTGTTTGTTCTTGCATTTAATATAAAGTTCTGGAATAAAGACGTTGAAATCAGTGGAGTGTCGGTTTGGCACTTTATTCCTCAATGGCACATTAATAATGCACTTTATACATAACAGCATCTTGCACTCGCTGAAATAGAGTAATCAAGGAGATGTTAGCCCTTTATTTGAAGACCTCTGTGCTATCTGTAAAGCGTTGGAGGAAACGAATATGTACAACATCCTGGTCCTCAAAGCAACTCCGGTACCAGGCGCCCCTCCAGAGCCTCACGATCATTTCCGGAGGGGCAGGGCAGGTGTGACGGATGTCACACAAAGGCTCTCTCTCTCTCTCTCTCTCTCTCTCACTTTGGAACTGTCCCTGACTCACGGCTGAACCTCCGCTTCCCTGCTTTTCCTGGATGCTATCACACAAGACAGGCTGCTCTGGTTCCAGGCCTTCTCTGACGGGAGAAAGCTTTGTGGGCCTGAACAGAGACAAATTGTCCTGGACAAAAATAAAAAGGAACTTTTCTGGTCCTTCTCCAAAATGTAGCACCTTTTTGCTCGGGTCGGGGGTGGTGCTGGGTAATCCTGGCAGAGGTTCTGGGGATGCTACTTTTAACTTCCATTCCTGGCAGGATCAACTCAAGTTGATACCGGGGGAAGGGTCAGCCACTCCGGGGACCAACGTGGAGGACCCTGTCCTATCCTTCAATTCCTTGGCTCTCCGGGGCAGGGCCAACGCCTTGGACCCACCCTCTTTCCCATCAGGGGTGAGTCTCACCTTGGCTCCGCCTGTTCCTGTGTAGTCCTCACGTGACCAGACGCCTTGCCCATTCACTGCCCGCCTTTGTGCCATAATCCCCGCCCTCCCCTAGCGGTCCCGCCTAGCGGCGTGGCAGATGCCCCGCCCGTTCCCGCGGACGGGCTGGTGGGAAGAGCCTCATAGCAAGATGGCAGTGAATCAGAGCCACACCGAGAACCGCAGGGGGGCTGCCATCTCTTATGGTGAAAGGTGCCTGAGGGGACCCCCGGGCTACTGTCCCAGAGGAAGGAGAACAGGGGAGGGAGAGGAATGGGGCGGCCCTGCTGGCTTGCAGGCTTTCAGCCAATCAGGGGCTTTCCCGCCTTTTAGCTCTGCCCCTGATGTTTAAGGACAAGGCTTTCACTGGTGTTGGGAACTTGGGGATTTGAGGTCGCGGGTGGGAGCACGCGGCCACGAATGCACGTGAAGGGTGTGTGGAGGATACCATCATATCGCCTGGAAGGCACAGATGCCCCAGAAAATAGGCTGGAACCCAGTGGCCATTGGGTGTGGCTGTCCCTTCGGGTTTCAGTGCCACAGTGCATGTGACTCTGCAGGGTGAGGCAGCACAGAGGACCTTGGGTGAGCCCCTCCCAGGCTCCCCAGAATAGGTCCTGCTGTGTTGACCCAAAAGAGGCCTCAGGAAGTGGGGTGTGGATCATTCTAGAAAGATCCAGAACGATCACAGTCTTCTTCTGGGACAAGAGAGAAGGGCTTGACGTTCCTAAAAACATACCTTTATTCCATAGCTGCCTCCAGATGTCTTGCAGCGAACCTGCTGCATCAGATGCCCCCGCAACCACTCTTGGGGGTGGTGTTTGCTTTGGTTGTAGCAGCCTTTGGTGGTGGAACTAATTTTGCACTCTGGGATGATGACGGGCCATGAAGAAGAGCCAGGAGTTGCCATTTCTGGTGGCCTGCTGGTTGCTCCTGGTTCTAGGTGGCAAGGAGGGCAACGAGCACTAAAAGAGTTGGTAGCCACTGGCATTCAAAGCCCAGGGCTGGGGCTGGGGATTTAGTTCTGCCGCCTTCCTGAAAAGTGCAGGGTCCAGAGTTTGATCCCCGTACCAAAAAAAAAGAAAAAAGAAAAAAAAGGCCCAGGGCTATTAATATTAGGAGCTACACTTTGCCAATTCATGACTTCTGTACAAATCAAATAAGAATCCTCAGCTAATTCATAACACCCTGTCTGTGGGTATGGGGAACCCCCTTTAGAGGGTCCTGAAAAAGAGGGCAGACAACCATGATGGTTGTCAGTAGGCTCAAGAACCAGCCCACATTTGACTTCCATCCTACATGCATCTAAGAACTAAGAACTAGCTGGCCCTTGGACTTTTTCCTTCTCATTCAAACCAGAGACGGGTGACTGCTTGTTATTGAAAAACAAACAAACAAACAAAGAACAGGACTGAAAGAAGAGATGTCAGGAAGAATGATGCCGTGTGGTTGCAGCCAAAGCTTCTCAGCTGGGAGGAGCTTATCTTGAGGCAAAATTGAATACCTAAACCCTGGGCTCTACTCCTTTCTCCCACACTCCCTACCTGCTTTTCACAGTATTTCTCCATCTCCCAGCATGCAGTTCTGAATTATACTCCTCTCTACACTGATTGGCTCTCATTTTTCTTTTTTCCCACTGTCATAGACCCCCAAAGGCCTCCTGTGTTCGGAAGTGGGGTTTTTGGAAGTGATTGAATCATGGGGGTGATGTAGCTGACTTGCTGGTAGGAAGGGGGTCTGGTCAGAAGAGTCCCTCCCTCCCCGGGTCCTCCCTTCTCTCTCGGCTTCCTGGCTGCCACGGTGTGAACAGATTTAAGCATGAACCAAAACAAACCTCTCCTCCTTTAAGCTGCAGGTGTCAGGTACTGTGTATCAGCAATGAGAAAGTGACCAAGACACCCACCTAAGCCGTGAGCACTTGGGTGCCACACCAAGGCCAGTTTAATGCATTTTGTCAGGGAGATCCGAGAAGACACCACCATGTGCCGATATCCACGTTCTCTTTCCTATGTTTCCTTCCCCGGAACGTTTTCTGGACGGTGTCGTACCAGCTGTGGAGTCAAACATCCCCACTTGCTCCTGAAGTGCCTTCGCTGCTTTGTGTGGTTTCACAGGAGGAGATGACCAGTTGCCACACTGACCGTGATGACCCCGAGCCCTCTAATCTGGGTGTCACGAAGCCATGGCAAATCTGGTGCTTGTGGGTCTTCTTACTTGGACCACGTGTGTGTCCCTCTGCTTTGCTGTTTGTGTGTTAGAGGCAGGGGATGAAGTGTGTTTTAAAAAATGAGGGATAATAAGAAATATTGAGTTATCTTTACGGAGTCCTTTCTGTGCTCTTGGATACTTAATAGCATTCACTGTGCAGTTAAAAATGTCCTAAAAGGTTTACAGCTAAAACTGCTCTGTCTGTAATGAGGATTGGTGCTATTTTCCTTGTTTCACAAGCAGGGAACCTGAAACAGAAAGAATGTGCTCAAAATTGTATGTTCTGTGCGTGCAGAGGAGCTTGGTTTGCGTTTGAACTTAAATACTATGTATTCATTCCGTCATCCCAGCTGCCCCTTGAAGAATAAAAGGGCCATTTATTTCTCTGCTTTCTTCTCACCAAAGAAGGCCCTTGGTGAAGATAACACAAGTGCTTTGGCTTCCAGGATAGAAACTAAGGAAACAGCTTGGGCAGGAGATTGGTTCTATTTTGACTTCTTCCTTCAATACACAATGCACACTTGAGACATTTATCAGAATTTGACTGTGTTTTGTACAGAAATTTTCTGATCCTAGATGAGAAGCCATGAATGTGTGGGCTGGGCTGTGCTATAAAGAGGGGGGAAATTGAGTTTTATTTTATCCATTGTTTAATACCTGTGCAGAAATAGCACACGTGTTATTACAGAAAGATTAGGAAAAGTTATGAGCCCCAATTCCAATATCCAGTAATTTTCACATCTTGGTATGAATTCTTTTTTACGCTTTTCCCTGTGAAAATACCCCCTCCACACACAACTGCTTTGTAACTTGTTTTCCTAATTTACCAGTATATCCAGAATGCTTTCCAGTGCCAATACCTGAATCATTGATTTCAGTAGTTGGTATTTCAGTATGTGCAAACCTTTACTCAGCCCTCAGTCTGAGATATTCTGGATTTTTTTTGGTCATTACCAAGAATCTATGACTAATTGTTGAATATATTTGTATCAATATCCATGAGAATTGTTGATCTGTACTGTTTTTCCCTTTGTCCTGTCTTTATCTGGCTTTGGTATCAGGATAATGCTGGCCTGACAGAGTACGTTTGGAAGTGTTCCCTCCTCTTCAATTTTGGGGAAGAATTTTAGGAAGATTAGTGTTAATTCTCCTTTAAATATTTAGTAGAATTATCTAGTGAAGCCACCTGGTCTGGGCTTCTCTTGTCAGGAGGTTTTGATTACTGATTTAATTTCTTGTTATTACTCTACATTTTTTTGAAATGTATTCGTTCTAGGTTATCCAACTTGTTGGCATGTAATTGTTCATATTCTCATAATTCTTTGTGTCTCTGTGGCATCAGTTTTAATGATTTCTCTTTCATTTCTAACATTAGCTGAGTATTACCTCTTTTTTTTTTAACAAGCTTGTCATTTAATAAGATGGACTTCATTTTCTTTTTTTTCTCTCATTGAGTTTATTGGTACATTTTAGGTATACAGTACAGTTACTTACATTCATCATTGGGATCTTGTACCTTTATATGACAGGTCTTGGTTCTCGTTTGTTTCCCTCGTAGGACTGACTTCATTTTCACCACACAGTGTTATACATGGTCATCTCTTGAAACAGATTTCTTTTTTAAAGATCTTAGTTTAAAATGTCAGCGATACTGTGGGTTTTGTAGAAAACAAAGGACAGCAAGTTTGTCCCTCTGTTTTGACCCATAATCCTCAACTTCACTGGAGAATAAGGAGAATATAGGCCAACAAAAGCATAATCAGTCACATGTATGAACAGTATTGTTTCTATAATTTGAAGGTCTCTGAGTGGACAGGTTCTGGCCCCGTCCAACTGTCAAAGGATTACTTAATGAATAGAATGTATGGCAGTTGTACAAAATGATATGAACTTTAATCATGATACCTTAAAGAGCGCTATATTAATTACTATTCAAAAATCAGAAACCTGGTTTTGAATCCCCAAGGAGGTGGTATGTATCCTCAGCTACGCCGCTCTGCCCCGAGGTGGGTGTCAGTACATACTCCAACAGAAACTGGCTTCAGTAAAAAGTCACAAACATTTAAGAGAATAGCTTTAATCATAATTTTAAGTGTACTATAAAGAAGGGGAAAGTGTCCTTTAATGAAATATATAGCATAACCAGGGACCCTGGCAAGGTTGAGGATCTCTCTGACCTTTGACAGCTGTAAAAACGTTTTGCACACAGCAAGACCACAAGCAGAAAAAGCAATCCCTCGGAAAGCAAATTCTAAAATGTTCACAGTGGTTTGTATCAATGGGAGATGCATTTTATGACAATAACAAGTACAGATTCAGAGCACCTTAGGGCTCTCTTTATAGTCTAAAGAAAATGAGCATTTACATTATTCATGGGTTGTGCTGAATTTAAAAAAGATCACTTGTATACTTTCCCCTCAGACAAGCTAAGCTGTCCTGGGGTGTACAGCTTTAACACCATCGTTAAAGTCATTTGCAAAAAGAACAGGGAATTAAAAAACAAAAATGGAACACTTTTCCTTGAGAGTTGCATATCTTTCATTTGCTGTTATAACCAGCAAATGCCATTCATCAAATCAAAAACAGAAGGAGGGGCTCCCTAAACCCAGATCTATCTGAGCAAACTGTCCAGTACACAGTACAGTTTTAAAACGAAGGTTACGTACTTAGTGTTACAAGTCCCGACTAGGCAGTGTTGAAATGACATCTTTGCTTGCTTTGAGTTCAATCTGAAAGGAGCACATGAATGGCTCATCCGTTTTCATCATGGCCCCTGCATTGCCAAACTCTCCACAATAGTTGGATGCAGAAAGCAGGGTGACCAACTGCCTCTTTGCAAAAAAATTCATGTCCATTTCAATCACTAAATGGCCTCTACTTCTAAGATCCAGATCATCCCTATGGAGAAGTTTTGCAACCACTTCAGCACTCTTCTGTCATTTTTAACCCTGCCTATGATGTCTTTATCTGGGTCAGACCCCAAAAGCTCTCAAAGAATTTGCTAATTTTCCTCATGACTTTTTTGACCACTTGGTTATTTAAGAGTGCGTTGTTAACTTCCACATGTTGGTGGCGTTGTTTTCTTTGGATTTTTTGTTTTTGTTGTTGCTATTGTTTGAGACAGAGTCTTGCTCTGTGGATCAGGCTGGCCTTGAACTCTGGCAATCCTCCTGCCTCAGCCTCCCAAGTGCTGAGATTATAGGTGTGTGCCATCATCCCTGGCTTCTTTGGATTCTTGATTTCTAATTTCATTTCATTATGATCAGAAAAGACATTTTATATGATTTTGATCTTCTTGAATTTGTTAAGAATTCTTAACTAATCTCACTAGTATACAGAAAATGTGTGGCCCTGTTGTGGTCCATCCTGGTGAGTGTTGCCTTTGTCCTTGAGAAGAGTGTACATCCTGGTAGAGCTGGGTGGAGTGCTCTGGCTCTGTTGGTCAGGGCTGGTTGATTGATGGTGTTCAAAACTTCTATTTCCTTAGTAATCTCTGTCCACTAATGGAACAGGGGCATTGCAGTCTGTTGCCGTTATTGTTAAATTACTTTCCCCTTTAATTCTGTTAGATTTTTCTTTATATATTCTGGGGGCTCTTTTGTTTATAGGGGCATTCATACTTTTAATTGTGTTTCCTTTTCGGTGGATGCTCCTTTTATAATCCTCTGTGCCTCTTGTAACAATGTTTGTCTTAAAGTCGTTTTGTCTGATATTAATACAGCAACTCTAGTTCTTTTTTGATCTTTTTCTATCCTCTCAGTCTATTTATGTCTTTGGATCTAATGGGCCTGTGGTAGACAGTGTATGGTGGAATCATGCTTGTTAGCAAATATATAATATTCATATTCTACTGATTGCTGCCTTTTAATTGGAGAGTTTAATGTCTGCTTTTAATTTATTTTTTTTGTTTTTGTGGTACTGGGAATTGAACTCAGGGCCTTGTGCTTGCAAGGCAGGTGGTGGAACCACTGAGCTAAATCCCTGGCCCACTGCATTTAATAAGGAAGAACTTAACTTCTGCAATTTTGCTATTTGTTTTCTATATCTTTTTTTTTTTTGTTCAACTCCTCCACGACTGCCTTCTTTCATTTTTGTTTTTGTTTTTTGGTTTTTTGAGACAGGGTCTTACTATGTATTTGAGACTGGCCTGGAACTCACTATGTAGCCCAGGCTGGTGTTAAACTGACAGCGATCTTCCTGCCTCAGCCTCCCGAGTGCTGGGATTACAGGCGTGAGCCACCACACCCGGCTTCTTCTTTCATGTTTAATAGATGAGTACCACTTTGATTCCTTTGTATCTCTGTTTATATTTTAGTTATTTTCTTTGTAGCTAATGCCTTAATTTATAGCAATGTACTTCAAGTTAATAGCAACACAGCTTCAATAGTATGCAGAAACTTTGGTCCTATATAGCACCCCCCCTCCCTTTTGTTGCTGTTACAAATTCCTTCTTTTCAAAACATTTTTTTTTATTTCGATGGTCTGGGAATTGAATTGAACTGAGGGCATTCACAATGAGCTGCATCCCCATCTCTTTTTTAGTTTCTTTTGAGACAGGATCTTGCTAAATTGCCAAGTTGCCCAGGCTGGACTTGAACTTGCAACCCTCCTGCCTCAGCCTCCTGGAGTGCCGGGATCGTAGGGGTGCCCCACCATATTCAAATACAATTTGCATCTTTATACGGTGTGGGCAAATCACTATAGATGTATAATTATCCTTTCTGCTCCCTCCACCGCTTGGTACTTATACTGTGAATGCAGATGTCTGTAGTTAAAGCTGCTTCCCAGCTGAGGAGTGCGGGATGCCACAAAGCTCACTTACTGAGATTCAGATTTCCTCCCTCGTATAAACACTTCCTTAGTTGCTACAAACTTTTTCTATTTTGTCTTATTTTTCACTTTTGTTGAGCTTTGGAAGTAAAATGATATCCCACCTTTAGCCTAGTTGGATACCACAAGATTAAACATGTTTTGGACTTACTGTCATTGCCACCACCTCCTGAATCTGTGGTAGCTTTTCCAGTCCTGTTTCCTATTTCCTGCTTTTCACCCTTTCTTCAGTTCCCTTTGTCTTTGCATTATACAAATCAGCTAAGGATTTCCATTCCATTCCATTCTGCTATAGAGCACTCAGCATAGCTGTGGATTTTCTGTACAACCACAAAAACTCCTTATGTACAAAAATGCAAACAAAATCAACAAATTCAACTTGAAGTTTAGATGGTTTATCTTTTTTTGCTTTATAGGGATAGTTTGTCGCTACAGCACTGTTCTCTCCAGGTCCCTCCTTCCCAAAATTCATTTGCATTTGAAGTGTTTCCTAACTTTGTTTCACCCAGGGTTTGGTTATAGTAGATAAGCCCCATGTAGAAATCATCACTATCCTGAAGACCTCTTTTTTGGGTGGGTTGATCAGTGCTTATGTATTTGATGGCATGTTAGCTTTCCATCGCTGTGACATAAATACCTGAAAAAAAAAAAAGAATGATTTGTTCTGGCTCATGGTTTCCGAGGATTCAGTCCCCAGTCCGCTGGCTCCATTGCTTTTGGACTGGGGTGAGGTAGAGTATCACGGCAGATGGGTTTGGTGGAGGAGAGCTGTTTGCCTCATGGCAGCTGGGAAGCAAAGAGAGAAAAAACAGAGTGGAGGGGGCCAGGGACAAAATATGAGCCCCGAGGTTGTGCCCCCGTGATCACTGCCTTCAACTGGGGCCCACCTCCTATTCCCATCACCTCCCAGCAACCCCATCGAATTGAGATTTTATTGCTGGTTAATCCACTGGTGGATTAGAGACCTCATGGTCCAATCACCTTCCAAAGTCTCACCTGTAAACACATGAGATTTGGAGGATGCCCTAACTCTGAACTGTAACAAATGTCAATTCGCGTTTGTTAATAGGTATCGACTATTTGAAACACAGTGGTCAGTTGCTATTTATTAATTTTTCTGTTTCTATTGAGACTGAAAAGATTCTGCTTCAAACTGCTGCTTGTGTATGTATTGAGGAGATGCTTAGGATGGTTTTAGAGGCTCAGGGGCACGGCCCTGGCATCAGCTGCAACTTCTTGTGGTGGATGGCGTGGTAGGAGCGAGTGCCGGAGCCTGTAAGCCTCGGGCTGGATTCTAGGGCCCTGAAAAAAGTGATTCTTGCATTTTTTGGCCAGTTTATTCATTGCTTTGTAGCTGGACATTTGGAGTTCCCTATTCCATTTTTTTCCCTGATAGCCTATACTTTCACAGACATTAAAAAAAAATCTTCCCCCTTTGATCTGCACGCTACCGCTCTCATTTCAGTTACCTGAGGTCGGGACTATTTTAAGAATTCTTAAATCAGTCCTTCGGACACACCACCACCACCTCAGCCCCGTGACTTCCACTCTGAGAAACACACAGCCCACACGCAGTTCCCTCTTGCCTGGCGAATGGTGTCTCCCAGCTCTAGTCCCAGCATGGCTTCCCCATTTTTTTATTATCCTTCCTAACCTCCCCTCCGTACTATGTTCCAGGGAAGCCACAGTGCTGGGATGTTTTTCTCCAAAGTGTGTAACCTGCTCCCCGTCTGCTCCTGCGCCTCCAGTAGTGCTGTTCCTTTCCGTCTGAATCATTTCCTGTCTGCACCTCTGCCTACCAAAACTACCCGTCTCTCGGGAGTCAGCTCGGATTGTAGCCTGTCCATGATTTTGTTCCTGATTGCTTCAACAAAAGCTAGTCTCTTCTCCCTCAGTCATTGTGACATTTTTGTGCTGTTTGCGTGATGTATGTCACCTGTGGCCTGCGTTGTGACGCCCTGTGTTCTTGTTTTCCTTCATTCATGCATTCTTTCAATAAATATTTATTTAGTAACGCTTAGTCTTCGGAGGGCTGCTGTAGTAAAGAAAGCAGTCATTGTCCCTAGTAATCACTAGGGAAGACATTGAGCAAGTAAACGATATAAAATAGTTATTAAGAAAGCAAAAAACCTTGGTACGATTCTATGAGTGAGCAAAGAATGAGTTCACGTTTTCCAGGTAAAGAGTGAAGGGAGAATTCCATAGGCCTCAGGAGCGACAGAAGGTGCTGAGACAGTCTGCGTGTCTTACCGTCTTTACCAGGGACACACATTTCCGTTAGTCCTGTTCTTTATTCTTCTTGCACAAGAAGATTAGGAATAGGGGTAGAGTTGACAAGAAAGTGAATCCCCAGGTAAGGAGGGAGAAGAATGAATTGTCAGAGAATAAGCTCACTTGAATCCCTTTTTATTTCATTAAAATAATAGCTGTTGGGCTGGGGATTTAGCTCGGTGGTTCTGGCAACTGCCTCGGAAGCGTAAGAACTTGAGTTCGATCCCCTGTACCAAAAAATAAAAATAAAAATAAAAATAAAAGCTGTTGCTAGTTGCATGCCTGTAATCCTAGCCAGTGGGGAGTCTGAGGCAGGGGGATCTCAAGTTCGAGGTCAGCCTGGGTAACTCAGACTTTGTTTCAGAATAAACAAAAGGCTGGGGATGTAGGTCAGTGAGGGGGCATCTGCCTAACATGCGGGAGGTCTTGGGGTTCAGTCCTCAGTACAGGAAAAAGAAGCAGGTTCGGCAGTTACATTTACAATGGAGTTTTTGCCCTGGACTAGAAACTGCTAAGAGCTTTATGTGCGCCACTTTATTTAAATGCTGTGTTCTGTGTGCCCTTCCTCTGCCAGTCTCTTGAAGCAGTGTTCGGATGTGGAGCTCTCCTTCCCACGGCAACCAGAGGGCTCCAACCTCTTCGGTGGCACAAAGAGGGGAACACTGTTTCTCACTCCATACCGGGTAATTCCCCCTGATCCTCTCACCCACCGGGTCGCTCTGCATCTGTTGTCCTTAACACTCAAGAGCAGTTAAGCACCAACTTTCAAAACAGTTTAAAACATTTGCACTTTGAGATTTTTTCCATGTTGAAGGGGGACGGGAGGAAAAGGGTGCTGTTTCTCAGCAGCCTTGACCTTGCTTTAGAAGTCTGAATCCCTGGACAAACTCTGTATTCCTTTTCACAAGTTTCCTTCTCCACTTAGGTGATTTTCGTGACCTCGCATTCCGTCAACGACCCCATGTTGTCTTTCACGATGCCGTTTAATCTGGTGAAGAACTGCACTGTTGAACAGCCGGTCTTCGGGGCAAATTACATCACGGGCACCATTGAGGCAGCTCCGGATGGTGAGAGCTTCCCCTCGGGAGCGGCCCCTGTTCCCTCCACGACTCGTGTTGGATCCAAACCGTTTTGAGCAGCTCTGCCCTCAGCTCTGGCACTGTCCTATTGCCAGCTGTGGTCTGTGAGTGAGTTTGTGTTGTTTCTCCCCTCAGGTGGCTGGGAAGGACAGGCGACTTTTAAATTAGTCTTCAGGAAAGGAGGTGCCATCTACTTTGCCCAGTTGATGATGGAAGCCGCCTCTGCCGGTGAGCGATGCTGACAGACAAACGAAGCAGCTTGGGGTTCTGAGGGGACTGACAGGGGACCGTGACTCCGCGGAGGTCTGCTGGCTTCTGGTCGGGCACTTCGCTTGGGTATTTGGCAGGCAGCTCCCGAGCCACCCAGTGTGTGCCGGCCCCACATAGATTATTGAGCCTCTCCCTGTCCTAAAGGAGCCTGCGGTGAAGAGGGAGCTTCCAGTCGTCCCTAAACGACTAATCAAACCTGCAGAAAGTGCTGGTCCTGTGGCTCCATCGAGGGGCCTTGCTAGCGTCAGGGAGCCCGGCTGTCTTCACTCTTCTGCTGGCAGAGCTTCTGGCCTCTCCGCGCTGGTCCCTTGTACTTCTCTCAGTTTTAGTCTTTGTCTTCCATGAGAGGGAGAAGATGCACTTACCACGCTCCATGTTGGTCTAATGGATGGGCCAGAGAACCCTCCTTTTTTGTGTGAGACAGGTTCTCGCTCTGTAGTTCAGCCTGGCCTTGAACAACTCATGGCGATCTCTTGGCCCAGCCTCCCGAGTGCTGGGTTACAAGTGTGTGCCGTCACGTCAGGCGAGAGAACTCTTTCCAATGTCGACTACAAGTAATCCTTTTCTGATGTCTTCTTGTTTGATCCAGCTTCACTGCGTGCCCTTTGCACTCTTACGCACTGGACTCCTTTGTGCCTTATTCTCTCTCGCTTCTGACCCACCGTGTCATTTACTCTGTCTGGAGCCCTTTCTCCTCTGTGGCCATTCACTCTCTACTCCAAGCCAGGTGAGAAAAACACAGCCTGGTGGAGACTGAGGCGCGAGTGCACACCCTGGTGTGGACTGCAGTCGAGGCACGGGTGCGATACGGGGGCCGTGAAGGAGGGTGTGAAGTTTCTAGCTTAGAACGCAGAATAGATCCTGATGCCATAAACCACGGTGAAGAACACGAGTTAGTCTATGTTGGAAGTGAGTTCACTTTTAGAACATAGTACTGGTGAATCTTGGTGCATGTTTACCATATGCTAGGCGGTATCCCAGGCCCTTTATATAGGTCAATTTATTTAATCCTCACAAAAAACTTATGATGTAATATTATGTAATATTATGATGTGATATTATCTCCGCTTTATAGCTGAGGAAACTGAGTGACTGAAGATTATATAATTTTCCAAGACTAGCTACATGGTAAACAGTGAAGATAAACCTATTCTCTCTTTTTAAATTTTTTATTTTGAAAAGATAAATCAGAGCTATAGAAAAGTTGGAAGAATATAAGAATGAACCCTTCATCTAGCGTCACTCATTATTAACGTTTTTCATGTTTGCTTTTGTTTTTGTTGAATTATTTGGATTAAGTCACAAGGATCATTTTATTTCTAAATATTCAATTGTGATCTTCTAAAAACAAGGTCATTCTTTCATTTAACTTCAGTGTACTTACCAAATTCAGAGAATTTAGCATTAATACAGTATTATTACTTAATATATAGTTTATATTAGCATTCAAATGTTTATCACATTCAGAAAGTTTAGCATTGACAGGAAGGCTGAGGAGTCCAGAAGCTGTGCTCAGCTCACTGCTGTCAGTGGCAGTTAACACTCTGTTGGTTATTCAGTCCACAGCTTCTGTATATCTGACTTAAAAGAACTGAGAGTTCCCATGTTGCCAAATTTGTCTTCTCAGCTGCCCGGGGATCTCCACTTGGAACAGATTACTGGTTCGGCCCGTTAAGAATTTATGTCGTTACCGGACAGGGAGGTGTGTGCCCTCCGGAGGCACCCTGTCGAGGTAAGGTATGGTAGGAATGGAAAAGTATAGCACTGCTCAAACCTCCCTTCACTGCAGCCTGGCCTCAGCTGCACTGCAGGAGAAGCAGCGGAGGTTCAGGGTTTGGAGAGTGCTTAAGCCCGTGGTCCTGTTTCCAGATCCGGTGAACCCCGGTGTCTAGTCAGCAAATGACTGGACTTCCGTCTCAGCGCAGAGCGTTCCTGAGCAGCTCCTGCTAGTGAGGAGGTCACTTTATGCTTAGAGCCTGAGCCTTATACTTGCGCTCTGTTTTCCCCCTCTCCTCATCCCACACGAGCAGAGCCGTTGTGATGCTGCCATGCCCTTCAGGCCCGCCAGGTTCCCCGGCCATGGGCTTCTGCCCTGTGACCTTTAACACTTGCCCTTGTCCACTGTCAACGTCAGGATTCTGGGTGACAAATCAGCTGTGGTCTGCTCCCTACTGGTGGGGTGAAAAGGGTCTGCCACAAGATTCGAACAGGCGGGCCCTCGTGTGGGTTCCCTTTGGAGTGTGCTGTGCAGGTGCACGGGCTCTCAATTTAATTTATAACCAGAGGCTGTTTATTTATAACCCTAATAGTTATCGTGGCTTCCAGAGATTGTTAGAGCACAATATTCATAATCTAGAAGTAAGTATCGTTGGAGTTTGAAAAAAATTTATTGTGGTAAAAGTCACAACATTTTTTACTTTAAAAATTTTTTCACTAGTGTATGTTTGCAGTACATAATGATTACATTCATCATGGGGAGTTAGAGCATGTATATGATATTTCTTTTCTTTTCTTTTTTTTTTTTGGTACCAGGAATCAAACTCAGGCCCTTGTGCTTGCGAAGCAGGTGGTGGAACCACTGAGCCAAATCTCCAGCCCTATATGGCATTTCTTAAAACTTTTTTATGACCCCCTTAACCACCCCTCATTCTCCTTTTCCTCCATCTTTCTGCTTCTTTTCCATTTGCAAAAGATCTATCGATCTGTTTCCTATCGTCATCTGTCTTTTAGTTTGCTAAAATACTTTAGATTTCTCATATAAGAGAAGCCATAAGAGAGTTAAGCTTGGATTCACATAATATTGTCACCCTGAACTTAAGCAGGGAATACATCTTAATTTGTCACCATTAATTATGCTGTTAGCTGTAGTCTTTCGGTAGATAGTTTTAAAAATCAAGTTGGGGAAGTTTACCTTTATTCCAGAATTTCCATGAGATGTTCATTCTTTAAAAATCAAAATTAGGACCTGGATTTGGCCAAGTGCTTTTGCTGTCTCTTGATTTGGTCATACGATTTTTCTTCTTAAGCCTGATGATGTGATGAATTAGGGTTATTCTCAAATGTTGAACCAGATTTGTACATTTGGAATAAATCATGCCTGGCCATTGTGTACAATTTTTTAGGCATATTTGGATCTAATTTACTAATAATATTGTTTTGAGGATATTTGCAATTATTTTCATGAAAGATATGTATTGGTGTAGTTTTCTTTCCTTATGATATCTTTATCTGTATTTTTGATCTTAGACAATGAGTTCGGAAATGTTCCCTGTATTCTGGAAGAGAGTGTAGAGAATTTGTGTAATTTCTTTCTTACCCACCTAAGCCTGGTGCTTTGCTTTTAGAAAGTTATAAAATTGATTACATCTATTTAATAAATGTGAGGTTGTTATCTATATCTGCTTCTCTTACCGTGAGTTTTGGTAATTTGCATATTTCAAGGAGTTTGGTCCATTTAATCTAAGTTATCAAATTTGTTGATATAACATTGTTCAAGATATTACTTTATTACCCATGAATGAGGCTGCTCCCTATTTTGTTTCTGATATTAGTAGTTTGGGCCACCTGTAGTCTCAGGAACTTGGGAGGTCGAAGTAGGAGGACTACTGGAGTCCAGGAGTTCAAGGCCAGCCTGAGCAACAAACCAAGACTGTCTCAAAAAAAAAAATCTCACTCTCCCCTTCCCTCTTTCCCCTCTGCTCCCCTTCTCTTCTCTGTTGATTATCCCTCCCTTACCCACTTTTTGTTAGCCTAGGTATGGGTTTACCTGTTTTATTGACTTTTTTCAAAGAAATGGCTTTTGAATTTGTTGATTTTCTCTATTGATCTCGTTTTCAATTTTTTTGATTTCAACTTTAAATTTACTTTTTTATTTTGCCTGCTTTAGGCAGTAAACTAATTATATAAAGAAATTTCTTGTAATAATAAGAGCAAAAAATTAGGTAAAAAATTATATGGTCAACCAGGTGTAGCGGCACACACCTATCATCCTAGCATTCTGGGAGGCTGAGGCAGGAAGATCACAAGTTCCAGCCAGACTGGGAAACTTAGCAAAACCCTGTAACAAATAAAGAAAAGGGTTGGGGATATATTTCAATGGGAAGGCCCAGAGTTCTATCCCCAGTATCAAAACCACCACCACCACAACAAAAGTCAATTTGATCATGATTGTGTGAAAGTTATTCAGAGTGTCTACAAAAAATATATCAAAATATTGGAGCATTTGTCTTTGGTGATGGAATTATAATTCCTTTTTATCTTTTCACCTTTTTCCATTTTCCAGATATTTCTCATTGAGCATATGTTACTTTATTCATTATCAAACAAACTGTACGAAGTAAAATATGTACAGATAGGGTTTTTTCATGTTCATTTGAAATTCTGCACAACACATAATGAGAAAGCCTTCTGGTGGGTGACTACAAGAAATGTTTTAGTACAACTCTGACTGAATTCTCTCGTGTTATTTGACTTTAGCATTATTTTATGTTTTTCTTTATCACTTATTCCTTGTCCGCAGAGTAACTGAATTTTTCTACCTTTTCTTTGGCACTCCCAGCTATTGCCTATGGAGTCCCACCTCCAGGATACGGAGCGCCCCCTGCGGGATACAGCGCTCCACCTGCTGGACTTGAAGCGTCACCTGCGGGCTACGGAGCCCCGCCTCTCGGCTACGGGGCTCCGCCTCCAGGCTACGGAGTTCCACCCGGGGGCTATGGTGTCCGGCCTCCCGGCTACGGGGCTCCGCCTCCAGGCTACGGAGTTCCACCCGGGGGATATAGTGTCCCGCCTCCCGGATACGGAGCTCCAGCCGGAGGCTATGGAGCCCCGCCTCCAAGATACGAAACCCCGCCTCCGGGATACGGAGGTCAACCCGGAGGCTCCAAGTCCCCACCTCCCAGATACGAGGCCCCGCCTACTGGGCCTCGAGTCCCCATTTCCGGACGGGAAACCCCACCTTCCGGGTCCCGAGCTCCGCCGACGGCCTCGGGTATTGGGCGTCCTGACTCTGTGGCAGCCCAGAGTTCTGGATATGGGGTTTCTCCTTCCTCATCTTCTCAGGCCCATTCACCTCCTCCCAACATGTAAACCTTGAAGATTCACCAGGCAAAGTCGCACCCGAAAATTGAAGTGAAGCTAAGAAGACCTTAGGTATACGCCCGGCGCAGATAGTTGCCCCTCCCTGTGGAAGGGCGATCATGGCGGAAGCGCTAAGCTTTATTCCAGGCATAGAGTTTATTTTATTTTATTTTTTGGTTTTTTGAGACAGGCTCTCACTAAGTAGTTGAGGCTGACCAGGAACTCACTATGTAGCCCAGGCTGGTCTCGAACTCACAGCAATCCTCCTGCCTCAGGCTCCCCAGTGCTGGGACTAAAGGCGTGTGCCACACGCCCGGCTTCTAGGCATAGATTTTAAAAGCAGTTCTTTATTAGGTGGATTAAAGGAAGAGTAGCACTGTAGGACTAATTCCTCAGTGACTTGGTTGAAGCTTGGCCTGTTTTTTTTTTTTTTTTTTTTTTTGAGACGGCCTCACTATGTAGTTCAGACTGCTCTGGAACCCACTGTGTAGCCCTTGCTGGTCTCCAACTCTCAGTGATCCTCCTGCCTCAGCCTCCCGAGTGCTAGGATTATAGGCGTGTGCCACCGTGCCCGGCTTCTTGGCCTGTTTTTAAAAACACCTTGAATATAAGTTTGAAAAAAAGCCTTTGCTTTTCTCCTCATCTCTATCCAAGAAACATTTATTATGTTTTGTTTGCTACGGCCTAAGGTGTATACTAAAAGTACCACTTTGAACACAGTTCTTTTTCACAACCTTCTTTATGTTAGTTACATTTCCAGTACTGAGAATTTTTAAAATTATGATTAACTATACAGCGGAGTATTCCCCAGCTGTTAAAATGGTGTCTAGCAGTACAGAAAGCTGCCTTTAGAAGACTAAAAAGAACAAAGCAATGAGTATCGTTTTTGACACTGCATCAGAAATTTAAATTTCTGAATGGCAAGTTTAAAAGATAGATGATGACTAGGAGAAAGTAATTTCCAACATATATATTTACAAACAAATTTGTAGTCCAAACATTTGAAAAACTGCAAAACCACCGAAAAGAAAAGAAAAGGACAAAAATTTTGAACTGCCAGTTAACTGAGACAATAACATGGCTAAAAGATACTTGAAAAGATAAAACTTGACTAATGTTAGGGAAATGTGACCTGAAATAAACTGGTTTCATCTTCAAAGACTTAAAAATATTAACATTCTTGATATAGCAGTTTCATGAAGATTTCATGGGATTCATTGTTTCTAACTGTACAGAATTAGGAATAACTGCTGAATGTGATGGTGCGCACTTGTAATCCCAGCACTCAGGAGGCTGAGGCAGGAGGATTGATGCTAGTTGGAGGTCAGCCCAGGATACACAGTTCAAGGCCAGCCTGAGTTACACAGTGAGACCTTGTCTCCAAACAATTAGAAGTAACTTATATGTTCATTAATAGAAAATGCAGAGGGCTGGGGATTTAGCTCAGTGGTTAGCTCAGTGGTCAGCCTTACTCACAGCACAAGGCCCCCCTGCACCAAAAATAAAAAGAGGAAATACATAAACTGGTATCCTCATGCTCCATATGCAAAAAATTCTAAGAGTTACATGAGAAAACCAAGTTGTAGGAAGAATATACTACCATGATTTTAGCCACCTCAGACTGAACTCTATAGAATATTTGTAAAAAATATTTATATTTTATAATGATCACTTTTTAGCTGTTTGGCTCAGTGTAAATATTTTATAATGTGTCCTTCTCTTCAATGAAATGTATTTCCTGGTTGCTCCCTGGGGAGCAGTGGGCCACCACTCTAGGCTCCTGTAGAGTTTTATCCCTTTCAAAGCTCACCATCCACCCACTGTGGCCACGCTTCTGATTCCATGGGCCTTTACTTTGTTGTAGGCTCATCCAGCAAGACAACTTAAAAATGTTCTATGAAGTATTATGAAGTGTTGCATCATCACAGGAGGGTTTCAGGAGCCTAAATCTGCAATATTACTAGGCCATAAGAAGTTTAAACCCATCTTTTTTTCTTCTCTGCATCCCTTGTATGTAGTTGATACTGTGCTGTATGTACAGTTTTTCACTTAAATCATCTAACATTTTTGTACATCTTTAAGAACTCAAATGTTAATAGTGGGTGTCTAATACTCTACGACCTAGGCACAGCATAACATTTTCTCAATCCATATTATAAGGCACTTCAGGTCTTTTTCCCCCCAGGTTTTGCTATTACAAACAACAATGAAAGGATTAACTTTTTTGTGTATAGGGCTTTTTAAAAATTTTGGATCTTTCTTCACAACAGGTTAGAGTCATCGATTGACCCTCAATGGAATGATTAAGCAACCGGATGCACCTATGTTGTCAAGGACGGCATTTTCAAGGAAGTCAGGTACATATTAATGGGTGTGATATGAAAAGGGGTCATGGGTCAAGTCTGTTTGAAAAAGAGCCAGAGAAGTTGGTTTCAGTACTGGATGACCTCTCAGACCCTTCTCATACGCTCACTGTGGCCCCAAAGTCTTGGTGATGGCCCCTAAGTAAAGGGGTCTTACAACAGAGGAAGGTGAAGGTGCTCAGCGGTGCGGTAATCAGATGGCCCACTTGTTCACCATTCGCGCGTGCCCAGCACCCTTCCAGATGCTTCGCGTGCAGAGGAGGTGCTTGGATCCCAGTCTCATAGGGTAGATCCTGAGACTGGGGCCAGGATAGAAGCAAACTGCCTCAGCTTGTGAGCTAAAGCTTTGCAACTGGCCAGGACGTGGCTGGTCAGGACCTAGGTGCCTCCTCACCACACACTCAACACTGTTTAGTCAGTGTCTCTTCTGTGCCATTTCTGAGTGCTTAGCGTATCAGTGACCAGAACAGACAATGATCTCTGGTCTTAGAATGCATACATTCCAAGCATTACCAAGAGCCAGACAGTAAAGACAATCACGCTATAACTAGGTGTTATCGTATTGAAACTGCAGAAGAAGCAAAGAGAAAGAGAAAGCGATAAGAACTATGAAAAATAGAGCAAAGGAGGTTGAGAATGCTGAGGGGTGGACATGGGATGGGTTGTAATAGCATAGCCTGTTGAGAAGGTGAAATTTCAGTAAAGATTTAGAGGAAAAGGGACGTGGGGGAGCTGGCCATGTAGACACCTAGGGAGTGTGCTCCCGTCCAAGTGAGCAACTAGAGGAAAGGCTGCTTGATTCCAGGTGTCCCCCAGACCCAGGATCTCAAAATACATATGTGAGACAGCTCCTATTCTCTAGAAAAATACTCGAACACAGCTTTCAGGTCGACCAGAGCAAGAGGTCTGAACCTCTCAGTGCACAACAGCTCAGGGACAGATGGAGACTGATTTCTGGGTTGTCATTGGCAAGCAGGTCTCCTTCCTGAATATGTCCTGAGGAGAGAAGAGAAGAGATCACGTAACTGGAAGAGGCTTGGGTCACTGTTTTTACACCTCCATTAAAGTCTGCTGTCTCACACATCTGCATTGGCCTTGGCTTCTCTGTTTCTGAGGGGATCTACATCAGTCACTGTTTTGTGCTGATCCCTTTGGGACCACCCAGTAGGGCAACTACTTCCTGGCTAGGCTCTTAACTTCCGGGCTGGGCTTTGTGGTTACCTGGTTCATGTTGTTCATTGTCTTATTCCAAAGATGGATTATGAGTTGAACCAAGGGCCTTCATACTGAGCTACATCCCAAGTCCTTAAAAATTTTTTCTGTGTGTGATAGGGTTTTGCTAATTTGCTGATTTGCCCAGTCTGGGCTTGCTTTTATAATCCTCCGGTCTCAGCCTCCCATAGTGATGGGATTATAGTTGTACAACACCATTTCCGGCGAGATGGATCTTCTTGATGTTGATGTCTCTAAATCTCACTGATGGAGTGTTTGCCTGTACAAGAAAAGGTGATTTTCTGACTCTCCACGCAGAGGAGGGCCAGAAGAAATTAGTGCAACGCTGGTGGGCTAGCCCCTCATTTGTTGCTGCATATGGTGCCCTGGGCCTCCTGAGGATCAGTTCAGGTCAAGCAGTTACTGAGGCTGCTCAGTGCCAGGAAATGTGCACTAAGGATTCCACAAATCCTGCTTAGGGGCACACCCATGGCCCGATAGGTAGAGTTTCATTGCGATTTGCAAGGGTTCACTCTGTCCCAGGCCCCACCTACCCCAAAATATAGAATGGGAGAGGGTGGGAGTCCGTCTTGTTGTGGCTCCTGGAGGGACAGGCCAGGCCTCCTCTTGGCTGCTCTGATTTCTTACTTTTTCCCTGGTCCTCAGACCCCTGTTTGGGCTGTGGTGTATCTCAGTTTAAGAACTGTTTTAGAAATAATTTGCCCGAGCCTCTCCTTCAGACCCAGTTCTAGAATTAGACCTCTGGCTTTTACTTGATGATTAAGAGGAGAGACAGAGAGTCCGGATTGCTAACAGAAGTGTTAGGGTAGAGGCCTGCACAATTTAGGAGAGGCTTCCGGATAAGGGAAGGTACCTGCATTACTCTGACTTCTCTACCTCCAAGGCCTGTGGTCTTGGCATGTGGCCCAGCCTGGGAAGGAGACCGCTTGGCCCTTGGCAAATATCCCTTGCCTGAAAATGGTCCCTTTCCCTTCACAGAATTCCAAAAAGGAGATGAGGTTTTTCTAGTCTGGCATCTAAGAAATTTAGAAGTCAGCACCTTCTCCCTTATGATAAGAAAATGTCAGGGGCTGGAGATGTAGGAGGAAGGAAGGGAGGGAGGGAGAAAGAGAGGGGAGGAAGAGGCTGAGAAAATTAAGAAACCAACAACTTTCTAGATCCATCAGAGAAATGAAGTTCTGAGATAAACCTCTTTCTTTAAAACTGGGAAGACAGACAGGTAGATACAGAAAATTGTAAGAGCTTACCAAAAGCAAAAGCTCAACTACTGAAACTCACCACAGGAGCCAGTACCAAGGTGGGAAAACTTAAATTGTAATTGAATTTCTGGAAGCTCCTCTTGGGTGAGCTGGGGAATTGGGCCCGGGGCCCAGCCCTACAGGGTACTGCTATTTTGTAAGTTTCCTTTCTAGGAGTCCAGTC